TATGGTGCACTTGTTGGATTAGTGAGCAGTTGAAAAGGAAATCAGACTAAGAGGGGATTTGCACACTAACACAATTCATCTTGTTAGCATTGGAGCTCTGTGCTGTCAGTTAGCAAAGTCTGACCTGAAGGGTTTAAGCAATTGGATGTTTGCAAATGGACACATTTAAAAGTTTATTTAGCTTAGCATGACTTTGAGGGAAGCAACGGCTGCACCTTTTCCAGCTGCTCGCCTTTATGTTGAGGGATTGATTTCCTTTCCAAAATCTTTGCAAGCCAAAGGTATCACAAACTTGTTTGTCAGCATAAAAGTGAAGCTTGAGCACAAACGAAAAGAGCTCAAAGATCAAAATCGCAGCCTTGGGAAGAACCACAGGATCTTTTTGCAGACACACTATACAAATGACTCATTGTCTGTCCAGCAGTGCCAGTTGGTAATTGACAGTTGTGGATAAGTTATAGTATATATTCCACTTATCCCTTTCCTGATTTTCCTGCATTTAAATGTGTCTTTTGCTATTCACTATGCAGCTATGGTCTGAATAATTTTCTCTGCTTTGCCTCTTCAAATTCTGCAGAATGGGTAACAAACAATAATTGTACTTTTATTGAATGGGTTTAAACGTGTCGTGCTTGGTGCATAATTCAGTTTTAGCTTAGTTTGTCATTTAGCTATTTTGGTTGGATTGTGTCTAACAGCAGAACCACCACTTATTTTGGTTAAAGGTAGCCTAAAACTGTGGCACCACCAAAATAGTACTGGATATGGCAGATTTGGCGTATGTGTGTGTGGTGGTAAATAGAGATTAAGACACAGCTGAAGGTACAAAGGATATTCTTAAAGTCTTTGGGTGGTCCAACCTCTCAGCCTGCTTTTTGCGAGTGCCGACACCAAACAGTGGTCATTATTAACAGACAAACCAGCCCCACCAGACTGGGATTACCTTCCAGCCAACTGCAGATGTGACGGTCTCTAAACAGTTCTCCGTTTCAGAACGCTCTATTATAGGTTCTGCATCCCACACCGGTTCCAGAAAAAAATTGACAGCTATATGAAATCAGTCATTTTCTCATCTGAAGTCATCTAAAAATTGCAATAACTGCCCAGGTCTGGCGTCTCCGGTCTGCGACTGGCAGAGACGACAGCACTGGGCGAGGTGCAAGAAGAGAGAAGAACCAAAGAACTCTCTCTGCTGAAGGGGGTGCGGGGATCACTTTCTCCCAGCTTGACAAAAGCAGCGAGCCTTTAACATTCTGCTGCACTCACAAACAAAGATGGGACCGGACTTGGTGTGGTCAAATCCAGGAGGCTAATGATAGCCTCTCAGGCCCGGCAGCAGAGGCTTATAGTGTAGGTCACTGCAGCCTATGGGAAAGCACACAGTAATGTAGTTATGTAACTTACTCTCTCACAAAGCCTGACAGCCATGAATGTGGACTGAGGAAGTAACACCGAAAACAAAAAACAGGAATTTGTTTCAGACATTAAAATTCTCAATTGTATCAAGAATTGATATCAACATATTCTATTCTTTCAAATTTTTTCTTTTTTTTTTTTTTAAATGGTAAAACAGGGACCACTGTGGAGTGATAACAGTATTCAGGTGAAAAACCCCAATGAAAAAGCCAAATTGGACATTCAGAAATGGTTCCTGGGTTTATCTTGAGGCAATTAAAGTGAATAGAACTATGTTCAACTGCCACCATCTTCATCATGTTTAGAGACATCAGCTTTAGTTGACTGGGGTTCTAGACTTGCCTTGCTTCTTTCTTCCCTGATCTGTATGAGGTATAGTATATCTCCAAGGGAAATTCGGCTACCAAAAGAATTTGTAAGCCAAAAATTATATAAAATTATTATAAACAGGGCTAAAAATATAAGCCAATGTTAAGCATGTTTGTGTCATGTCACCTGAATACAGCCTACGTTAAAATAAGCTTCCCCCCCATCAGGTGTCTGTATTAATACCCAGCCAAGACCTATGAAGAGAACAGGTTACCAGATTCAGGTTAACCAGAAAAGTCATTTCTGCCATTGAGTGGAAGCCAAAACGTAATTTACATCTTTCAGCCCATTGAAGTAACAGATATTTCCTAGCTATATTTCATTATTCAGTTTGGTTTTAGGCTTGTGAATTTGTTGCTGACTCCGTGTCGATGTGTTTTGACAGTAAGCAGTTCCATGGGGAAATGGTTGAAGGTTTCCAGCTAGCGGCTTGTAGAAGGGAAACAGAAACATTTTCCAAATCAACCAAAATCTGCCACCTGAATCCCCGAATTTCCTTGCATGAATGAATTGTATTTTCTTTAACCAGTTTCGAAAACTGTGCAAGGATGTGGTGGTCTTATTATAGGTTATGTGCCTGTTTGTTCAGGGCTTTGGCCTTTCAGCCAGGCACTTTGTGCTAAACCACTGACTGAACAAAGTTACAAAAAAAGTTATTGTATTTACTTTATAATTTCCAACCATTTCATTGACAGCTCTTCTATTGCATAGTTCAAATCCCGCAACTTTCAATTTTATGAACGACAGGCACATGAGATTATTCCAATTTCTCACTGGGTAGAAACATTTTGAAAAACAGATTTTTATTATCAATATGAAATAAACCAATGTATTCCAGAGTAAATAATACCTTACTTTTTATTTAAAATTATACTTGACATATCCACTTCGTGTTCATTGCAAAAAATAAAAATTTGTGCATTAGCCCTGTTTGAAAAAGAAAGAAAGAATAATATTGATTGTAGAAGATATCCAGATCAGACAGTATTCTTAGTCCAAGCGTCTGAAAAAGAGGTCAGGGGTCACGAAGGGTCTGGTGCTTTTTGTACATTTAGCTTTAACCCACTGAACTAAAGGATGTTGCTGGTTGATCTTGATCACTGGCCCTTCTTCTTAACCTGCTTCCTCTCTTACCTCACATTGATCTGTCCCACTTCCCGAGCTCAGTTGGCTGGCAAGACAGGCAGATTCAAGATGGGCGGTGCTCTCAGCCGGTTGTGTAAGAGCAGTGATAATACGCTTTCCTTAAGGCAAGCTCTTTGTCTGTACTTTCTCCTGCTGTCATTAACATGGTTATCTATTAATCCCTGTGCTACACATAAGAATATCACAGTTTGTTTAAAGGTAAATGTACTACACTACACTTTTGACCTTTTTATTTATTTATATTTTATTTTACATTAAAATCACATATACATGTAAATTATGTTAGCTTTTTATGTTTATTTTTACCTGTACAGCACTTTGGCAACTTCGGTTATTTTAAATGTGCTCTATAAATAAAGTTTGACTTGACTTGACACTAATTTGCATACTATATTTCAAGCCAATACTATTTTGCTAAAAAAACATTTTGTTGTGAGATTATTTCTACACAAAGAAGAATAGAAGCAAACTGAACCACTTCAAATTACTGTTTAAACTTGAAATAAAAAAAACTGTTACACTTCCCAGTGTACTTTACTAATTGACAAAGCAGTGGAGAATTTGCCTACCAAGTGGAAGGTTGGTGGTTCAATTCTGGGACTTCCTGGGCCACATGTTAAAGTGTGCACAAACCTCACATTGAGCACTGGTGTGTTCTTGAGGGTCCTTTTAAGTTGCTTTGGCTAGAGGTGTCTGCTAAATGCATAAATGGAAATCTCACTCATCACAATATATAGTGATTTGAGCATGGGGACGTTTCTCTGATTTGAATAAAAATGTTTTCTTTGGAGGAGTCCTACATCTCTGCAATGGATTTCCTGTGGAAAGTAACACACACATTGACATGAGGACAAGTGACCTTGTATAAAGCAGTGATTTCCCAGAATGTTTATCAAATTAACCCCAGCTGCAGGACTGAAAGTTCTGAGATTTCAGATCGCATTCATGAAAATGTCCAGACCCCTGATGCCTCTACAACCTGACTTAAGTCCACCTGGGATGGGCTGAAAATAAATGGAGATGATCAGAACTTTTCACTATGATCCAAGTGACGTTACATTTGATGGTGCAAAGCCAGAATGAAAAATACAATTTGAGATTAAGGGAATAACTTTAAACTTGAATCTGGTTATTTTCAAAGCACAGATGTGGGGAAGTATGAAACAGTTCCTGAAGCATGTGCAGGGACGGGGAGTGTTACAGCCTCCACCACCAATAATGAAAGATGTTTAGGACTATAAACACACTGAGACCGCCCAAACTGAGTCATCAAGTTGAGGGGTCTTGGTCGGATAGGTAACTGAGTGCCTGACACTTTCCCAGCAGAATCTTAGAGAGTGTTGGACCATGACAGGTTCTCTGATCTGGTGACACAAATCCAGTACGAAATAATTTGCCCACGATTACCCTTTTCTGTGTGGGGATGAAACCGGGCAGTGCACACCAGCTCAGTCCCACTAACCCTTGTCAAACACAGATGCATAATCGGTGGTTTGAATCATCTCAATGGACCTACTTTAGAAGTAACATGGCGAGAAAAAACACAGAAAATGATTGCATCTCCAAAGGGGTGCATCAACACCGATCCCTAACCCCCACATTAACACCCCCTCCCCACACAAATACCCAACTGCCTCTGCTGAACCTGAACCTGTCTCCCGTAGTGTCACAGTACTGACTGTTTAAGCTCTCTACAGGTCACACTGGGTACTGAAAGGAGGGATTTTTAGATTTGGCATTTGTGATTAACTGTAATTATAAGAGTGCAGCACCCCCTTGTGGCAAACGATTCCAAGAGGATTGCTTTGACCATTTTAGCTCATTCAAAAGTCGATCTCTTGATCTTAAAAACAAAATTTGAAAAGGAAAAAGCTTATACTGGATAAGGTTGTGTGAGAGACATGTAATGAGCAACCATGATGGGGTGTCCAGCTGCTCTTTAGTCAAAGCAGCTGGCACCGCTGTGTACATATCCTGAGTGTCCACTGTGGAGAGGACTCAGTTAGGAAGGATTAATCATTACACAGTGACCTCCTTTGAGTAGACAACCATCAGAGCAATTTAGATCCAGATAGATAAATAACAAACATCAACTAAAATGTTAGATGGTTAAAGATGTTGATTTCCTGTTCGAGGAACGGAAATGTAGGGACTTGTTTTTCACCTTTAGGGCAAATGGTGAAGACAAAAATCATTTAACAACAACCGTCGTCGTTGGCGTGCACTACAGCGTCTATATTTAGTTGTCATATGTGGCGTGGGTCAGCTGGGACCCCGCGGCTGGACACGCCTCTGGGCTGAATGGAGCGCGCCGTGCGTAAAGCCCGACCTGCGGCGGATCTAAACTTCCCAGGGCACCGGGGATTTCATCCATATTCCGACCACTTTGCCGCTCGGGTTGCGGTTGTCTAAATGCAGCCATGTCTCGAGAAGAGGATCTCACCCGGATCGCCAAAAAACTGGACAAGATGGTGTCTAGAAATAACACGGTGAGACTATATTTTGACACCCACAGGTGGCGCGTTGTCCCGCTGACGCCTCGTGCGACGCAGCAGGCCCGCGGACGGCCTTTGCGAAAAAAAACCAAACTTCCTCAAAGTTGCACTTGAAGATGAGTTTGATTCCCCTTCTGCACGACAGGCTTGGAGCATTTCCACGGGTGTAACGCGAGTCTGGCCGCCCTGTAACACACGATCAACAGGTGTTGGGTCCGAGTTTGCTTGTGTTTCCCTCGCAGGGCATTCCGCTCCTCCACCATGGAGCCCAGCCCTCCGGGTTCCAGCACAGACCGTTTAGCTGCTACGGTTTTTTTTTTTTTTTTCTGTCTCCAAATGTACCGATCTCCGTCATATTTACATGCAAACAAAGTTTGCAGCAGAGGGTAAACAGCGCGGCTCGTGTGCATAGGTCGTATGCGCGCGCGCGTGTGTGTGTGCGCGCGCATACTGTTTGCCTCTGCAAACAGGACATTGTTTCATTTTCATGGCGCTTCTGCATAGTAAAAAAGACTGCAACGCATAAAGCACCAGTAAACTTATAGTAAGTAAACACGTGCAGTCACAAAAATCCTATTTAATCCCTGTTTTGCTGTTTTAAATAATGCTATTATTAATCCGTTCTTAATGTTGATTCTCATCTTACCACAAAGGTGAAAGTGTTTTTGTTCACCAACCACAAGTGTCTTATAAAATGCTCATTTGCGTGTTGTTAAATCTGTATTAAATGCTGTTGTTACATGTTTCTGATTGGAAACGAGGCTTAAAGCAACAGTTGTGATTTGTGTGTGTGCAGGACGGTGCCTTGGACCTCCTGAAAGAGCTGAAAAGCTTTAACATGACACTCAAACTGCTCCAGGTGAGCTCAAGCGAACGAGTTGGAACGTTGCTATTCATTTGAAAATCCCAAACCATCTTAGAAAGTTACATAAGTGCATGACAGTCCCAGCTTGCAATCGTGCTTTTGTGCCTTGTTGTTTCAGGAAACGAGAATCGGCATGTCTGTGAATGCTATCAGGAAGCACTGCACAGATGAAGAAGTCATTGCCCTGGCGAAGGTCCTCATTAAAGACTGGAAGAGACTTCTGGGTATTAACATTTTTGCAGTTTACAAAGCAGTGAAATGGTTTGTGCAGTAGAGGCTTTATTGTTAAATGTGACCCTCACAGATTCTGGCCGTCCACACTCGGAGAAAGCAGCTGAAATAAAGAACGGTCTGGACTCCAGCAAGACTGCCTCAGCTCCAAACAGCCCCCCCTCTGAAACGCACAGCAGGTCAGTTGTTGTTTCACAGCTGTTGCCGAGACGGTCTCGGATAACACGACACCTAACACAGAGCCGCACATTATGGAATAATGCCCTGTTAGTACCAGCAGAGCTGTGACACCTGTCACACACACAAAGCTTAATGGACCCTGATACTGCACCGGACCTAAAGTTTGATTTACAGATTCATGCGGACAGTAAACTACAAAAATGTTTCATAAACAACTGCAGCTTTGTCCCGGAACTGCTGTATTTACCATTTAAGTAGGCATACATTGGGCCAGTGTGTCTCTGACAGCCAGACATTGTTATCTTCAGTGTGGCTGTCTAATGGGAGTTAACTACAAGATACTATATCAGGTTACAATATCAGTGGGTTGATTTATACCTTTTGAAGAAACCTGTCCCATTAAGTTTTTTTAATGGAAGCCATTAAATTGCCAATTGTATAGCTTCCTCTTAATGAACTTGCAAACATCAGGTTATATGCCTTTATTTATGTACCCTCATTGAACCCTCTACCAGTCTCATTCTCATGGTTTGTTTCTGCTTTTTTTGTGCCGAGTACTGTTTGCACACTCCTAAAAATCTTTCCGCTTCACTAAATGAAAAAAACACTTGAGGAAACCGAAAGGAATGTCCTGCCTCCATCTCTATTTCCAGGCCATGTTTACTTGCTTTTGATTACAAAATTGTGGTTTGACAGTATCATTTGTGGATGTGGAAGGAGTTCAAGCCAAACACCATGTCATCACCATTAACAGAGTTTGGTTTTAAACAAAAGACAAAACCCTTTTATGTATACAGTGTCATTTAAAAGCTCCGTTAAGCCTCACGCCGTTTTTCTAAAACTCTTGAAAAACACTTACAAACAGTCACAACTCCAGCTTTAGCCAAACAGAGCAACCTTGAGCTTTACTGATAAGGAACAGGCTTTGGAACGGCTCCTTATCATCAGGACTGACTGAGGTTTGAATAACTCCGGCAAAACGAACGTTTTTTTTTAACTTTTCCAAAACAACAGTGAGTCAATAATACATATCATTATATACTTAAAGATATTTAATTGCATGTTGACTGAATTTGATGCAAATCCAAGGGAAAGAGCGACAAGTGTGAGACTCTTTTTAGTGATAGTATTACTGGGCAGCTTCTGCTGGGAAATTTTAGAACCAAAAAGGGCCATCTTCAGAATCAGGTGATTTGGGGTTTAAAAAGGGGTTCATATCAGTCCTGTTTTACTGCTTCCTAAACTGCATTAGGCTCTTAAGTAGAGGTGTGTTCCATGTCGTGTAAGTCACAGGAAGCTGGACGTCAAGCCAAATCTCCACTCCAATCCTGACAGCAACTGGGACAAAAACGGAAAAGAAAAGCAGAATGATGACCTTGTAAACAAAAAAAGGCGTGCGGATGACCCTACGGATGACAAGCAGCTTAAGGACCCCCAAAATGTAAAATGCCCTCAAGAGTTCAGAGGGGACAAACAAGCTCCTGCCCAAAATCTCAAAGTGGAGATGGATGAGAAGAAACAGAAGCACACAGGGGACATGCAGCCAGGCAAACACAGGGACAGATCGTTAGAAGATCTCCGAAAGATGAGGCCATCGGAGCCGCTCAGAAGGGAGAAGCACCCGGAGGAACCGAGGAAGCGCGTGGACGATGTGAAGAAGCCCAAACGCAGGGAGGAAACCAGAGCTGACCGGCCAGTGGGCACGCATCACGGGGAGCGGCCGCTGGCTGAACCCCACAGAGAGAGACCCCCCGGCCCTCACAAGCCGCTGTTTGAAAGGTGAGGATGCGGTGGCTCTCACACAGTGGTCCCAACTCCTCACCAGATCCCCGCAGGGCTTCAGAGCTGCTCATTTATTTCAGGCGATCGGTGCTGGACAGCAGCGTTCTGTATCCCTCGCGGTTCCCCTCCCCCCCTCGGCCGGCCCAGCCTCCGCTGCCCGTCAAACGCTCCGCTCCCGACGTGAAAAAGGACAGGTCAGGGCGCTCGCTTGAGCCGATGAGCAGAGCGGAGTGACGCGTGGCCGCTGCTAACTGCACGACCGGCTCTTTGGCCGTGGGCGGCTGTGCATGGTGCATGGTGTGAGGAGTCTGTTGTGCTGCGACACTCATCTGTGCCGTTGTGTCGTGTGGACAGGAAGGACGGCAAAGACCCTTCGTCGCGACACCCCCGGCCTCACCCTCCTCGACCCGCCTCTCCACCCACTAAGCGACCCGCAGTAGAAATAAAGAAAGAGAGGTCAGGCATGCCTTGGTGCATGTTTGTGAAACCAGTTTAAAAAAAATAAACAAGGAAAACTTAACATTTAGATTTAAACCAAATCTAATTTTTACATCAGGAAAATTCCCCCAGACCCTAACGCTCCAATAGCTCCTCTTCCTCTCCACCTCCATCCTCCTCCTCAAAGGTCAGGCTCTGCATGTCCGCAGCACAGTTTGATATTTGCTATTATTCACCCTCTTTGTGACGTGATTGAGCTTAGGTGAGGGCTGTCTTTCCATTTAGAAAAGAGCCTCCTGACCCCAACGCTCCTCTTCCTCCTCTCCCTCTTCACCTTCACCCCCCTCCACCTCTAAAACGCTCCTCGCTGGATGGGAAAAAGGACAGAGACAGGTCTGGATTAGACCGGTTGTCGTTCTCACAGTGCATGTTGTCACTGCTCGGAAAACCTGTCATTTAGTTTGAACTTTCCCTCTCTGCCTTCAATCCACATGTCGTTTGCTCCAGCAGAAAGTCATCCACAGACTCAAAGCCTCCTCCACAGAAAAAGTCCTCAGAGGGTGTGAAGAAAGACAGGTGTGGGTTGTTCTGTCTCATTCATAAGTGTAAAATAAGTTTGCATCTCAGTGAACTCAGATTGCCGATTGGTTCCCTGTAGTTTTACATTTATTGAGGCACGTTTTCCGAAGCCTTTCAGCAACAGGCATGATGTATTCAGGGTTTTCAGTTCAGTTCTGTTAGCATCAAGCCTACATTCTTCTGCAGGAAAGACTCTACAGAAAGCAAAGCACCTAAAAAACACTCAGATGAAGCCAAAAGAGAAAGGTTGGCAAATCGTGAGCCTTGCAAACTGCATGTCACACTGAACCTGAGGATTTTTGTGCTTTAACTGCATGATGAGAAATGCTCACTATGGGTTTTGCTGGCTCAACAGCTGGATTTGGTTCAGATTCACACACAAATGTTTCCTTTTGTCAGGAAAGATTCCTCTGACTCTAAACTGCCTCCTCCCAAAACACCAAGTGTGGAGGTCAAAAAGGAAAAACACAGGTGTGCAGGACTGTGGGAAATGGCCCCAAAGTACAGTATTAGCCTGGGAGAGTACAACTTTTTGCAAAATATTATGTAAAGGGACTCATTTTCTTGTCTGTGTTGTTTCAGGAAGGATTCCTGTGACTCAAAGCCTGTGAAGCGGCCTTCTGTCGATACTAAACCTGACAGGTAGGAGCAGCATTCACTTCAAATCTCAATCATTCTCTGAAACGAAATGCAAATAAATTCACCAACACAGATTAAAACTGAATTTACTGAAATTGTTTCATTAATTAGACGAGAATCTACTGATTCAAAGAAAAGCAGCCCACCACCAGTGAAGAAGCTAACAGGTGAAAGGTAGATATAAAACACCTGTGCTGTTGACTTACTTACCGGAAGAATAAATAACGTAATTCACTGGTTGTGTGTCTAAGGAGAGAGAGTGTTGGCACCAAGCCTCCTCTGCCGGGACCTCCCCAGAGGAAGGCTTCTACTGACAGTATTGAAAGGTATTTTATTGTAAAAAACTAGTGGAATGTTTGCAAATCATGAAATCAGTAGACGTGCAAACAGAATGAATTTACCTCTCTGGTTGGTTAATTATGCCAGAGCTGTGGGTTGTGAAACCGTGTTGTGTGTGTGATTTTCTTCAGAAAAGGCAAAACTGAAGCCCCCAGAACTCCCACCACCCCGACCAGTCCGATGTCCCCCGGCTTTAGTTCTGCTGGGGGTCCCCTGCCCACTCATTTGGCCACTGGAGACTCTGTCAGAGACAAGTGCATCGGGATGCTGGCAGCTGCCCTGCGCACAGACAGTGAGGCTTATTTCACACTGCAGCAGTTTCTGACCACGCAGTGGACAATTGAGGCAAATGGCTGGAAAAACGCTTCAGATCTGTTTCGGGTTGACTAAAATATGGTCTGTTTTTCACAGATAATTACAAAGACTTTGGAGCAAACTGTGACAGCATGGCAGCAGAGATTGAAGATCATATCCTTCATATTAGTTCATCCTTTCAGGCATCCTCCCCCCCATATACAATCAGATGAATTCCTCCTTGACCGTCTGACTCCACATATCTACCAGGAGATAAAGGCCACCGATATGAAATACAAAAACAGAGTGCGGAGTCGCATCAGCAACTTGAAAGACCCCAAGAACCCAGGGCTCCGCACAAATGTCCTCGCCGGCAACATTGAGTTGAGCCGCATCGCCTCCATGTCTGCAGAGGTAACGCGCTCACCGCCGGCCGCTGGCCTGGTGCTCATACCTGTTTGGCACTGCTCTCCCCAGCTGCCCTCACACGCTCTGCTCCTGATGTGTAGGAAATGGCCAGCGATGAGCTCAAACAGCTGAGGAACGTTCTCACCCAGGAGGCCATCAGGGAGCACCAGATGGCCAAAACCGGTGGGACCACCACAGACCTGCTGCAGTGCGGCAAGTGCAAGAAGAAGAACTGCACGTACAATCAGGTAAACCGACGGCTTATTAGAGAACCTGCCTGAGAGTACCTGCAAACAAACCCACCTTAGGCCCCAAAGGCAGCGGTTGACTCCTTTCGTTATGCAGCCAATAATCAGTAAAACTAAAAACACGAGTGTACGGATGACTGAACATGCTACAGAATGGTAAGCATGTGTGGGCATGCTAAACATGATGAGGTATGTCATATGTGTGTGGGTCTCTGTTAATAAATGGGTCATTTTAACCAGGCTTCTTTCATTTTATGTTACACTACTCTCGGAATACAGAGGAAACCTCTCTGGAGTAAACTGGACCAGTTTTGTGTGTCGGTGTCTTTCAGTTCTTCCATAGAAGGGCCTCTTTTCAGTTAGGCAAACCGTCTGTGTGTGTTTCAGGTGCAGACACGTAGTGCTGATGAGCCGATGACCACGTTTGTTCTGTGCAATGAATGTGGAAACCGCTGGAAGGTAGGTTCATTCTAGAACTCCCCACCTGTGTTCATTTGAAAGATTCAAAAACATTCTTTTCAATTCACTCATCATTCTGTTTATTTCTCACTTTCAGTTCTGTTGATGCCCTCAAGGTGAAGCCAATTTTTTTTCTCTTTTTTTTTGAACATCATGAACTGTGTTTTTTCTATAACTGAAAAGAGAGAAGTTTATGAATTATTGCAGCTGGTGATTTGAAAAGATTATGATGTTCTAACAATTTTTACTTGAACTTTTGAGATTTATAAGCATGTGCTATTAGCCAAGGCTTGTTCCTTGTGGATTGGGCGACTGAGTGCAAATATCATTCTGATTACTGAATCAATAAATCAACCCACTTGCTTTTCAATAATTATCATGGTGCTGTCTCACAGAGACTCATAATCCATTAAATATGCCATGGCATGTAACAGCTGTTCACTTTGTATATATCTAATTCCAATAAAGGTGCATAAATCATCAGAAAGGTGGCTTTTTTTAAAACCCTTATTTTTAAAGTGGTCAGTTTTTGGCCCATATACCTTGCTTCATGTTGTGAGAGTACACCCCTGATACGTTTGCCTGCACCAAACCCAGCACTCTAATAAGGATAATAATAATTGTTATATGTTCATTTCAAGAGAGCAATATGATAATACTGAAAACAAACAATAGATGGCGACAACACATCAGAACTTGGAGCAAAAGCTGGCATTTGCTCTGGAAAATACTGGTTACCAGAAATTGAATAGTTGCTGTCTAATATCAGTCCATGTCTGTAAAGGCCAAAGAGGCCTTATTCTGACGGTCACTTCTACTCAGCTGAATGTAAAGAGATACAGACCACAGTTTGTGGTTTTTAAAAGTATAAAGAAATCTCAGTTCTCTCTTTTCTGGAGAAGAGTTACTGTGTAAGTTGTGAAGCTGATATCACATTTTAATGGAAAAGAGAAGAAACGTTCCTGTCTACCAATTACCAAACATATGGTACTTACATTACAAATTCCACATATATTACACATACATTATACATTCCAAATGTCTGCGAGTTGGAACTCTTTAGATTTAAACTCTGCTTATGCACAAGTGGATGTTTTAGGGCTCAGTTGTTAGATCTTTGTGTCTGTTCAAAAATAAAAAAATATTGCGAAATATATTGAGAAATATTGATCAAATAAAACATAATGTTTGATTTGATCATTTCTTTCGTACATTTTTATGCTAACTAAGATATATATTTTTAGGATATCTAAGAAAAACCCAGTAATTGACTTCATAGACTGCATGGCAGTAAGTGAAATGATTAACCTCACTGTGAGTCAGAATTCATTATTTTTCTGTAAGCACAACATTAGCTCCATCAGAGGAAGACAGATATGACTGTACCACGACAGGTTAAATCTGCTTTGTCTTGTAATCAAACACTTACAAAAGAGATTGTTTGACATATTCTAATCGTGTGCCTTAAAAGGCTCATGCTGATTTTTGTCACAAAGCTAAGTTCCCTCCTGGGTAGTTCAGCCTCCTTTGTGTGCAGAGTATTGAGATTTTGTAACCTCCATAACTCATTGAGCCCTACTAAAGCTGGAAATAGATGACACTTTGTGAGCAAGCTGGGTCCCCGCATCATCAGTCAGGAAATGTAATATACCGAGCAATGCATACCTAAATGCCTCTTTTTATTGGCTAATGTTTATATTCATAACATCATCTTCAAGGGAGAGCATGCAAGAGGAAGGCTACAGCTCAATAAATAACCTCTCATTTCTTTCACTTTTCAATCACGAGGCTAATAATTTTTTCTAAAGTTGCAAAGTTATGTTTAAAAGAATGTTGAACTCTTAAATTGCAAAAAAGGGGACCTGAAAAATTATTTTCCCTCCTTTATAGTGGCAATGATAAAATAATGATTCTGATGATTACCAGAAGAAAAAGGGGGTGGATGTGGTTGACTTATTGTCTGAAAAACATTGTAATTTATTTTTGATGCAGCCATTGACGGAGGTCAGTACTATTTTCCACTGGACTGTTAACTATAGAACAAAATGGAAATATAATATGATTTTCATAAAAAAGAATACTGAGTACAAGATTGTCTTTGATGGCAGAGTAAATGAAGAAAAACATATATTGAATGCCTCAAAGGCAACGATAAGAAATGAGAAATGAAATACTGACATGAGCAGCATCAATGTGAAATTCGGCTGCCTGTCGGTGAAAAGTGACTCTATAATGTAAGTGCTCACATTGGAAAAAGCCCCTAGATATTTTTTTTCTTTCCCCAGACTGTAATGCTTCTCAAAAGTGGATGGCATCGTGCCAGCCTCTTGCAAGGGAACATTATCTCCCTGTGAAACTTTCCAATTTGGAGTCTGAAATCTCTAACTGGCTTCTCCCTTTGAAACGACTTCATGCTTTACAGTTTTATTTTCTTTAAGATTGTGGCTGTGGCTGCAGAATTAGTTCTTTTATGTTATTTGTGTATTTATTATTATTGTTATTTACGGCTCAGTAAATAATCGCGTATTTATTCAAATTTAAGGAATAGTAGTGTGACTCTGGACTCTATTGGGCTCCCTGGCCCATTTTTATACTCTCTTATGCAAATATTTTAAGTGCCGGTTTGCTCATGGATAGTGTGAGGAAACTTATTTGATGTTAAGAGCAGTCAGGATATACCGTGCGTTTTTTTAATAAAAAATGGATTCATTCTGGGCCACTGCCACTGGATCTGGTATGTGGAGAGAACGGGAGCGTTCAATGCCTTCTCCTCTTAGGATGTTTTTGTCAATTACATCATTATTCTTCTGAGTTCAAATCCACTGTGCCCCAGTGACACCATGACCTGGCTTCCTATCATTTTCATCATTACCTCTATCATTTAGGGATGCTGGCTGAAAAGACTAATGCGGCCAGTACAGAAAATATTATGGTTCTAGGTTGTAAGGTGTCAGTCTTTTTGCCTGGAGCCAAAGGGATGTTGTTTAGGCAGTTCCAGATATGATATGAATGGTTACTTGCTGTTGGGTGAAATGACCTGGAGCTAAAAGAAGGGCGGTGATGTGAGAGAAGCATTGTTACAAGCTAGTTTTTAGAGAGGAAAAAGTTCAAACAATCTTTGGAGAATATTTGGGATTTTTGTTGTTTAAATCCATTCAAAATGTCAGGGGAATTCTTTGAGCCCTCTGTTAGCCGGGTTTGTCATAACTCAAGTCATAACAGGGAGCAAAGACATCCATCCATCCATCCATCCATCCATCCATCCATTATTGTAACCGCTTATTCCCTGCATTTCCATGCATTTTGTACTGTCTTCATCCAAAATATCTTCATATGTTATGGGGCTGAAGCAATTCTTCTGGCATGTTGAACCCTTCACTTCCTCTGGAGATGATTCAGTGAGCCTTCTTGTGTTCTGGGAGGGTAAAGATGCAAAATACTTTTCACCTTAACAAGAGAAAAAGCTGAGGAAAAGCACTGCTTTTTATCCATCAGAAAGTCTCTGCTGCTTTTCTTTCTGCCTCACTTCTTGCTGGCTGGAGACCTGAGCTGCAAGTACTTAATTTTAAATGGCTGTGGTGGACTTGGAATTAAATTAAAATCGCCCTCTGAGAACAGCTGGACACCTTGAGACACCTTGTCCTTGTCCTCCAAAACAAGGAAATGTTCTCAGTATGGGTTTTAAAGAGAGGAAGATCTTCTGCTGTACAAACCTGCCTCCAGAATAGTGACATTAACACAACTCAGCTTGAAGCTCCACTTTCACCATCACAGCACATCTCTGCTGTGATGAGCCCACAAGACTTCGAGCTTGATTCTGGTAATGTGAGAAATTGCTGTCTCTCTCCGTTGTTGCTGGAGAAGAGGAGATAGCTGGCTGAGGCCGCTGCAGTTCTGCTGGTTAAGGCTCTCCAGCATGCTGTGAGTCGGTAAGGATGGAGTAATGGCTTTGTTTTGTAGCTGTGCAGCTTCATAGCCTCAGTGTTTCACATAAACCATGAAGGTTGAAAGCTTACAACGTTATGTAAGCACATGTTTGCACTGTTACGTTTTAATCTCTGCATGTATTGTAAGAGTAAACCTTGTTCAAACATTAACATAGCATATTTCATTAAGTACTGCAACAGCATTTCAATATCTGACCTTCATTATATAATATCTAATCACTGATGATCTTCATCTAATTCACTTTCTACCATTGATGATTTCCTTTGGAATACAGTTCATATATTGTATGAATTTCCTTTTTTAAGTTAAATGAAACCCAATCACAGATCCCCCCCCGCCAAAACAACATGGCTTGAAAATGAACACATGAAAAGAAAAATAATTCAATCTGGGCATCATGTGGTTAGGTGTCTATACGCTTATAACTACACGTCACTGCATAAGATACATACAAACTAAAATAACTGAAATCTGACACGATACTTTTGAGATTAGAAGAGTTGTATTCATATATCAGTATGAGCCAAGCATGTGTGCTCTAGCTTGTTTTTAGTTTATGAAGAGGACTTTCTGCACACTGGACTTAACTTCTGCCTTTGTGAGGAGCACTGCACCAGCCCAATTTCTCCACATCAATGTGTTATCTAATCAGCCCAGGTTTAACACCTTTGGAGCTTCATTCAGCACTTCCCACTCTGAGGGCTGATCACCGCTTGTGTCTCCAGGCACCACGGCAGCTTAATTGAGCTTTGCTCCAGTCTTGAAGCACCTCCTTTATTGGGCCTTCTTCAATGCTGATCCCCCCAAAAATTCTTCCACAATACATAATGATTTTGGAGACAATTCCAGATATTTAAAGCATCATGGCACTGAAGACATGAGAAGGAAGGTGAAAGAATGTGATGTGTAATTTGAATAGGCACACTCTGGATAGCAGCGTGGCCTTTAGTCGGCCACAAATGTCAGCTACCATTAGAGGCTCCAAAAATGATTGTCAGGCATAAACTGAAGAGCTGAGACCTTCTGCATGGCCAGCGAAGGCCTGAACGGCAGCTTCTCTCAGTTAAACTCAGTTTAACTCCTTTATCCATTACTCCCTTAATCCCTCAGGCATAAATTCTGCCCAATGATATCACTTTAAGGGGATGTGCTTTGCTTTTTAGAAATGATCTCTTCTTTTCTGACACTGGCACAAGAGAATACACTTCGTGTAGTAATGGAGAAAATCAATAATCATTCAGATTTATGTTCTTTATTTACTTTTGCACATTGATATAAAACATTATAGTAATTCAATCATGCTTTCAATCATACACATACACAATTTCTCCAGAGAAACCAAACCTCAGTGTCTTTGATTCTATTCAATATCTTTCAAAAGTGTTTTTCTTCAGTTCGAACTCTCAGATGATTTTTTTTTACATTTAGTAGTATAATGTCAAGACAGTTTTCAGGTGGTGTTCAACCACTCTGCAGTCTCTCCAGGCTGAGTCCTGATTGTAAACAGCAAGAGTCACTGACATCGGCCTCCACATGGCACAGCGAGAGCAGCAGACCTCAGAGGACACGCTTACAAGAGCGAAAAGCTCATCTCTTTCAGAGTGAATTCATATGGAGATTAGTCAAGGTTTCCTTGACAACTACATTTTTACCAACTAGGATTCTTCTCTCCCACTCCTCAACGAGTTTCTCTTTCATACGATACATTTACAACCTAAATTCCTCAGCCAATGTAAATGCCCTTTCAAGTATTAAATGAAAGGAAGAAAGAAAGAACATAGCTTTTGTCAGTGAGCATACAGGACCAAACAGACCTTTCAGAGTAATTCATAAGCACATGAATCAGAAGAGAGTTTTTAGCTTCAACAAAAGTCTGCTTTTGTTGGTAACA